ATGGTATTTATTATGGTTTTCATGTGTAATAGCTTCCTGTAAAGAGAAAAAATTTCAAACTACCTATTTTCAAATTTTCAGAAAAGCGAAACTGGTTCCAATCCGTTGTGTGATGTGTATGTTACATTATTCAGATATGCTGATAGATACCAAGATTTGGTCAAGTAGAGTGCACTAGGCCCTTGGAGGAGTATTTAAACTGAAACTAAGTTACTTTACATTTTTAGTTTTCCTTGAAAGAAATTAACCAGGTCTAGTCCACTTTGTGTGGATGGCAAGCTGGGTTTGTGTAATTTTTATATAAGTTTCTTGGTTTCTATTATGTGTTTAAGAACATTAATTATTGAATAATGCATTGTATATGTGTATTCTTAAAGATTGTATGTTACGGTAATTCTTAAAAATTATTCATATTATATATACTGTTTTCATCCATTTTTAATCCTTACATATAACTTTTAATTTAATGTAAGCTTAAATTAATCTCAATTATTATTATTATTATTATTATTTCATTTCAGAGTAATTGACTTACTCTCATTTATCTCACACTTTGTTACACACACTCTTTATCTATTACTATCCGTTACTCTCTGTTACTTTGCGTGAAGCACCAACCTAACCCTCTCTTTTTCTCTCTCCTTTCCTTTCTCCTTCTTACTATTCATCCTCCTCCTTACTGATCGATCAAAGCCATCAGAATCCCTCTGGATGATGAGCTAAAAACACATAAAAAAATCATGGGAATCATCAGCCTCTTGAGCTTAAAAAACGTCTCTCCTCTTCACCCAGCATTGATTCTTTGATTTTTAACCTTCTTCCTTCTTTTCCCTCCTCCTCCTTTCTTTTCTTCTTCTTTCCTTCTCCTCCCCTCTTCTTCCTTCTCTTCTCCCAGACCTGGTTCTCTGAGAGAACCTGAACCCAAGTTTGGGGGAGAACCCGAACCCAGGTCTGGGTTCTCTAGAACCTGATTGGGTTTTCTGGGTTCGAGTTCTCTTGCAAAACCAGGTCTGGGTTCTCTCGAACCCAGACCAGATTCTTTAGGAGAACCCAGATAGAGAGAGAGAGAGAGAGAGAGAAAAAAAAAAGAGGAAAAAGGAAAAAGGAAAAAGATAGTGAATTTTTATAAATTTTTGTTAGAATTTTTACAAATTTGATGCTTCTCTCTCCACTGTTTCAATTGATGATTGGTCTGTCTCTACTCTTCCTCTTTCACAATCTTCTTCCTCAAATATATTGTTGTCTAGCAACCCACAAGAAATGGGAAGGCATCATGGCAACGAAGGGCTGGGTGTGTTTGGGCATTAACACAAAGTAACGGAGGATGGGTGTGTGTAATGGAAGGTGTACCGAAGGAGAGTAAACGAAGCATTATCCATTCCATTCTCATTCTTAAAAGATTGTATGTAACTGTAAATTATTCATATTATATATACAGTTTCCATCCATTTTTAATCCTTACATATACTTTTTAAATTAATGTCAACTTAAATTAATGTCAAATATTATTATTATTATTATTATTATTATTATTATTTCATTCAAGAGTTATTGTAAGCTCATTCGATATTCCGCATACTTGGAATCTACCAATCTCTAATGACACCCATAAACCGAGGAGACCATTATTCACCCTTCACCTCTCAAGTTTGAAAATTCAATTCATTCTTCGCGCTAATATTTTATATGTACTTCTCTTCTTATGTTCAGGCTTTCTCAAATTTACACAATTATTGTTAAGATGTCTCTCATTTCTTGAAAATTGTTAAAGTTAGAACTGATGTTAAATTCATAAAATTGGCTTGGTTTTGCGCTTTAGTGTTTCTTTTTAGTTGAAAATTTTCCTAATGATGGTCTTTTATTTTTGTTACTTTCAATAGGTAATTTGGCCTTATAGTAGTGATTTTCAACCTACGAAAGCAATTTAAAGGACTCCATTTCATTTCTTAGGAGGAAAAATGTGGATCTTACTATGTTAAGGTGAAAAGAATGAAATAAAATGTTTTGTCTACCCTTTATATCATTGTTAAAGAAATTAAAAAGAGAGTATGCTGGGGAATAGGAAAAGTGCAATGTTGGTTAAGTTGCAACTTTTAATAGGAAAAACAAAAATCAATGAAGTTGAACCTTGAGCTGATAATTATTGGATCCATTTTTCTTTTCTTTCTTTTTTCTTCTAAATTTGTGACTCATTCTGAGCAAACTTGATGAATTTCCTAGAAGTAACACTGTTGACAACCACTTAAAAACGGATTAAGTGTGAAAATATAAAAAGAAGGGAGTCGTCACTTGTCCAAATTATAAGATGGGACAAGTCACTTAAACAGGTCTGCGCAGAAATTGGGGTTTGGGGGTTTGGTTAGGAGTGAGGAAGGGCATACGCGCACCTCACAATCCTCCATTTAAACACGGTTGCATACTTTAAAATTAGGATTTTAATTCAACTTATTTATCATGTTTATGTTTGAGTCTTAATAAGCAAGATAAAAAAAATTAAACCAAATTGAAACATTTTTTAGGTTTTTAGACTAAAATGGACAAATTCAAAAACATGCATGTGAAGCGAGCATAAATAAAAAGTTAAAGGACTAATTTGATTAAATTCAAAGCATGAAGGACTGATTTGGTTAAATTCAAAACATGGAGAACTAATTAATAAAATAAAAA